ACCAACGATCGCGATCCTGATTTTCTATTTCTTTTGTGTTTATTGTAAGTATCCTTCATATTCTCCCATCTCTTACAACAATCATCAACTGAAATGATTTAAATAGGCAATAACGTTAGGAAGTAAATAGTAATATTCTACACACATTATACAAAGAAGACAACCGAATATTGTTCAAAATATTCGTGTCTAATAAACAATGTCTCTGAATATGGCTGTTATGTTATAATAATTAACCTATATAATGAAAATGTAAGTCGCGAAAAATAATTTCGAGATTTGCTGGTTATTGGTACCTATCGGATATTCGATGAAAATAAACTGTTCTTGGAATATTTGTTAATGAAGCCTGAGAGCTGCAGCTGCCTTTTGTGTTTTCATATCGTTACAGAGAGGGTAAAACAGATAAAATATTAATTCAACTCGTATGTATCCCGAGAAGGGTCTACAGTCAACACGGCATTACACATTTTACTATAATTAGAATTTAATTTTAGATTCTGAACGGATCGATGAATGAATTGGTTCTATAATGATATTTGTTATTGTGTGTGTCTGTAGACGTACAGGCAGAAAAAGGTGAAAAATACAGGCAGAAAAAGGTGGCCAAGGTTACAAGTGCGTCACTTTGACCCCATGTCACTGCGTCACATGGGGTTAAATTTGAAACCAATGTATTACATTTTCACGTTTTTACCCAACAAATAAAATTGTATTGACATTTATAGAAAGAAAAATATTGTTAATGTTCGTAAACAGATCAAAACATTTCGAAAATTTCATCAAGTATAAGATGAAATATTGATGAAATAAATACATGGTGTAAATATCAAGAAGGTATCTACAGTTATTCGTTTTTGTTCGAAATCGAGTAAACATCCAATGTTATACAATTTTGAACTTCATACGTTCATCTAAATTTAGTTTTACTTTCAGGTAGTCATTAATTTTTTTTGACCCCACAAAATACTAACTATCAAAAAAAATACTGTTGAAGAAAATCCAAGCATTTTTACTGTCCTAAAAGGTGATAACAGATCATTATACGATCAATGCATTTAGAATTTAAAATAATTTAAATTTCAATAGGTATTGAGGTTGGTTTTTAGTAGAAAACTGAATCTAGTTTGGAACTAGGAAGTTAAAAAAAAAAGTAAATAGTCCCCATACCTCTTTAAAAATGGGAAAAACTTTTGAAATAAAACAGGAATATAAAATTTTTGCGCAATACCAATTCTCGAATAATCGATTTTGTTTTTTTTAGTTATAAATAAAATTGTTTATATATTATAATAGTAGTTATTTATATTATCACCAAGTATTTATGTTAGCATATATTCTAAACATGATACAATTTTAAAAATATTTTGGCTTTTTTTGATTTATTTATTGATGATTTAAATTTTTGATTTAAATACCTAAATTATAAAAAGGTGAAGTGGTGTTTTTTGTCTTTTTCTATTACCTACTTGTGCATCAAAAGAATTCAGATTTGTTATTCTTCCAGCTATAGTGTAACCACTTGATCTAGTTAAGTGATAGAAACTCTGAAAACCGATTTAAATTTGTCGTCAGTACTCAGTATAATATATACTCAGATTTTCAGTTCGATTTTTTTACGTGAAAAAAAGTAATTTTTAAATTGAATTTCTCTTTGTTTACAAATGTTATCATAGAACAGAGATTAAACAATATGTTGTAATTACAATAATGAGAAAATACGCCAATTTTGAGAGATGTCTTATACGAGACGAACTCAAAACATTTTCAACAGTCCAATTTTCTATTTCGTTTCAAAACCATCAAATTCAAAAAATATATACCTACTCGAAAGACCATAGTATTATCATTATTATATTATTATACATTTTATACAAGACGTATAAAATATTAATTATTTAGTGAATTATTATGTATGTAGCACTACTTATGTATTAAGTACACATTTAAAATTTTTTTTAATATAAATATGTTTTATTGGGCTGGGTACAAATATGTTTATTTCGTAACGCATTGTATATCACTATAGAAAAGAATAAAATATGTAAAATCACCTAATTCTTTCAATTAAATAATAATGGTTAAGTACTTATTGATTTATTATATATATGTATATACGTATTTATGATTCATACATTTTTTCCGAAGTGGAAACCATTGAGTAGAGTGCTACGTTTGACAATACACCAATTTATCTAGATGAATGGGTTCTGTCTATCGTCAACATTTGGGGTAATAAAAATGGTCCGATTTTTTTTTTGAACCAATTTTGCTTAACTCTTGTTTATCGCCATAGAACGTTATCAACTAAATAATAAATATCAACTAAATCAATAACATTATCAATCTATAGATCTTAATTCATTATATTTCATAATAAAATGTAGCATATGCTACTAAATATTTTTCCACTGACTTACCCAAAAACATATCTATCATATCTCAAATTTTCCTTTGCAGAGGAAAAACGTCTATTAGTATCTTATATTCTTTATAATCTTTTTTATGTATTTTATATCATTATTATTTTATTGTGTTAAAAATAACAATTGCCTAAGACCTAAAGTGCTTTCAATGGAAGGCTTTTCCGCACACCCACAATCGACATCCATAGTAAAGCACTTCTTGTAAAAAAATAATTTTAGAGATCGTGTAATGAAGAATTAAAGTTAAGAAAAAAATAAAAAACGACAAATCTGTTTAGGCACCAATTAGTATTTTCTTTAGTTTAGTAATAATTATTATAATGCAATCGAGATGGGTATACTTACGACTCTTGTTCATATATTCGGATATTTTCTGCCAAACATTATCTCTCACTCCTTGATTTTTATAAAATTTGTGTTCCACATCAAAAATACACGGGTGTTGACTGACCAATTCAGCAAGTTTTGTATCTTCTTCTTGTGAAAAGGAAACTGACTTGGAGGGTGGCATTTTGACGTAAGTAGAATATTGAATTTATGTACCAGACCCCGGGCGACCGCGTTTTGACACCTGTCAGAGCAGTCGAGATCGTATACGGCTTGAATCGCGCGTGCGATGGTCGCGCACCGTCGCGGACATCATAGGAATCGGTTTAATTTAGTATTATGTAAGTTATAATGTTATATTACCGTGTTATGAAGTATTTGAGTAAGAGTATTGAAATAATTTTTTTAATGCTTTCAGCATGAAGTATTTTCAATGGTATTTTAAATCTCTTTTGTTGTATACCTGTTCAATACTTATTTGTATTGGATACTTTTGGCTTTTTATCGAACATTTTATTTTATTTGAAAAATTTGGTTGGAAAAATATTACTACCTGCTTCAAAAAATATTACTACCTGCTTCAGTAATTGAATAATAGTTTTATTTAGTGTTCTGACGTATTTAGTGTGGGTAGAGCAACCATAACAAAAAACATAAGTATACCTAATGTGGCTGACGAAAATGTGGAAAACATTATGTTTTTAAAATGTAATAAGCATTTATTTAAAAAATAAACTAAATATAAAGATTACATATCTACTAACCTACTTTATAAAACCAAAAGTATTTTAAAAGTATTCCAAATATTTTTTTTAAGTGTTTGTGTAGTATTTTAAATACCATATTATCTTAAATACAAGAAATAAATTTGTATTTGAGTATTTATTCAAATAATTGTTATAAGTATTTTTTACAACTTTGGATCTAAATATAGCGTTTCCAGCCAGACACGTGCATATAGAAATCACGCAATAAAATAAAACCATTTAATTAGCCGATGAAAATGTCAAAAGTTATTATTTTAATCATACTGTAATTAGTAATATATTTAAATACAACAAACAAGTAAATTATATAATCTTACGTTTAAGTGAATTGTAATAGAATATGTGCATACTGTTAGTTTATGTAATATAATAAAATCAAAATTAACTATAGCTGTGTGTAATCATATTTCACAATCACATAATTACTATAGACTGTGAGTAAAGTTTTCTGCTCACGCTAGTAATCTAATTGCATATTTGCATACATCAATGTTCGATATAATCAGTAATCATAACAATGTACTAAAATATAGATCCTAAAATATATTATTTCATATAGTACGGTGATTGGTGAATCGTTAGTATTTAGTTTACAAACATTTGAATTGATAAAGCAATAACTATAATATTATATAGCCCAGAGGTATTCAAACTTTTTCATCTCGCGGCTCCTTTGTGTGTTCTCAATATTTTTACGGCTCTCAAATTATTATGAAAAAATTGAAACAACGCTGATACAATGTCATACCCTGCAAAATAGGTGATAACAACAGTGACTTTAATACTAGAAATAAAACTACAAATAGTCGGGTAATGTTTTCATTATCATTTTTATAATCGCACTAACGATTATAAATAATATTTATATTCATTGGACTATTGATCTACATTAATTTTGGTTTTCCAGTGCTTTGACGCGGCACCCCCACTTCAACAACTCTCTCGACGCCCCTGGGAGCCACGACGCACAGATTGAATACCTCTGATACAGCCAACACTTACCCACCCCTTCGATTATTTTAATAGTCGTAGTAATGATAATTAAATACAAATTTAGATCAGATATTGGATTTAAACTTAAATTTTATGGAGAATAAATATAGTTTAAATATGTTATAACTTAATACTCAGACATTTTAGTTATTCATAAAATAACTATTATAATAAGTAAATTTGTTTTGTATTTCAATATTTTCCATAATATATGGCTTAAAAGTAGGTAAATCAATACCGGCTTATTATACTGTCCATTAATACGTATAATATTACGAATTCTTGGTTGTATAACATAAAGTTATAATGAAAATATCCTGTCGATATAATATTATTATCTAATACATAATATATAAAATATTAATATGTATTTTAAATAGGCAAATAAACATACATATGTTTCATAAACATAATACGTATTTGAAGAACGTCATCGATTTACATAAGTTAATTTAATTTTTAGAGGGTGTGATGAGTGGGTATACATTTAACTGCTTAGATTTGGCAGATCTGGTTTCGTTTGTTCACGATGTTCTCGTGTTTCTCGGTGTTCTCGCGATTCTCGTGGTTCTCTTGGTCTCGTAAAAAATGAAATAATATCGATTGGCAGCGGAAATACGATTGTAGAATTCTTCTCAGCTGATATTGTGTTTAATGTCTGAAAAAGAAAGAGAAATAAGTTGATGATTATTTATCAAAAACAAACTAAAGAGGTGGGCAAGTGGATGTCGCTTTGCTGTACAGTAGGTTACAAGTGGGTCACTGTATAATGAATGGTATTAAATTTGAATTCAATGATATAATATCATTATATAAAAAAAACGATTCTGAGCAGAGACGGTATGTCAGTCTAGGTAAAAGACATATTATTTACTTATCTATATGTATTAAAAAAAAAAATGTACCTATAATATATTCCAAATCAATCATATTATCACAATATCCATTAGGTACTTATGTCTTATAACGCGTGATACATCAATAATAAACCGTAATACAATCATAGATATATATAGTAGTATACTTTAGAAATTTCAAGTACGCACGAATAATATTCTATAATCCCAACAAAATAACTAAAATAGTTATTCTAGGTTGTTTTTTTTTGTAATTTCGTCCAAATGTGAACTTAAAATGACTATAAAAATAAACTGTGTTTCTGTATTTTTTAGATTTTTTGTTAACAGAATGAACTACTTACGTGGAATCTTGTTTTAAATTTTCAATCCTTAGATATAAAAGTTGAACATTTTATACATTTTTAACTACAAAATAATTATTCAATTTTAAATTTGATACATTTTGTCAAAATTCGATCTTTAAATGCTTATAAAAAAAAATTGTGAATATGTATTTTTAATATTTTTCAACTGATATTGAAACAATATATCAGGAGCCTTGTATTAAATTTTTACACTTTTTGGCGTAACAGATAAAACTGTATTGATATTTATAGAAAAAAAAAACTAAAAAAATTGAAAACTGTAAATGTCCGTAAACGGCTCAAAAAGAGTCAAAATATTTTGAAAATTTCATCAAAAAATTGGCGCCCCCTAAGCCCCGGTGAAAAAAAACTGCTCCCCCCTAAGGGGCCTACCCATGGAAAATATGGGAGATAGATCCTCATTAACCTCTTAGATTTTGAGCACAGAAAAGAATATTTGTTTTACAATAATATGTACTTTTTTTAAAAATATTGTTTAGTAATTCCTTGATCCTCTATCCGCAAAAATACATTTTAATTCAGGTAAAAATATTAATTAAAACATAAAAATATAATTAACTAAAAAAAAATTATTATTACTAGTAGATTCTTAATTGCCAATTTTCGTACATTTTTACCCCGTAAGAACTAAGTTCTGATGGAATTCGAAATGCACAGTAAATTCACCAACTATTTTATATTAAATTGGCTATTTAAAAAAATCTGAAGGAATCGCAAGTCGAAAATCGCATTATATCGTTACGGGGTGGGGCTGGTGACATGTGAAAATTTCGGAAATGCATATTATGGACGAAATATTGGTTTGCAAATTTCGACAACTACCTTGCAAATTGTTGCTAATTGGCTGCTAAATGTTGACATGAATCGCAAGTCGAAAATCGCATTATATCGTTACGGGGTGGGGCTGGCGACATTTGTAAATTTCGGAAATGCGTACTACGGATGAAATATTGGTTTGCAAATTTCGATAACTACCTTGCAAATTGTTGCTAATTGGCTGCTAAATGTTGGTTCAAGAAAAATTAAAAAATGTGTTTTCGATGAGATGGGTGAGGCTGGAGACACATGTCCCCAGCCCCACCCCTAGTTTTTTTTATTTTATGATTTATCTAAAGGCTTGCAAATTGTGAAAATAGTCTTGCAAATTGTTGCTAATTGACTGCTAAATGTTGAGAAAAAAAAATGTTAAAATTTTTAATGGGTGGGGCTGGGGACATGTACGTTTTATTATTTTTAAATTTTTGAACGCATAAATTTGGTTAATAGTTACCTATATTTGAATTTAGGATATCAAAAATCAGAGAAAGTACACAGTTAAAGATTGGCAAACTGAAGGCCAAGGTGGCAAGACCATAGTATCAATGACGCCTAGGCCAATTGTACATAAAACAAATTCAGGGTATGTAAGTGTACATCCTGGCACCCCCCAAATGGTAAAGGTAATAGTACCTAACTTAATAATAAGTGGAAGAACCAAGGTAAAAATACATGATATTAAAAAGCAATAACTTTGTCTATTTTAATGTTTCAAAAACTAAACTAATACTGCAATAGGTACCAGAAATGTTTACAAAAAATATCATTAAGTCCTTGAAAATTAAAAGTCTGTAGTTTTTACAGAATTATCCACATACACTATATAGTAGCGAAATGTATGTATATTGAAGGGCCAATCCGTATACCACACATCAACGTAAAATAAACTTAAAAAATGATTAAAAATAATTACACGTATAAATAACACAAATAATTAATTAAAACTTTATAATATTATGGTATAAAATATAAATGGTATAATACAGTAAAATCATATATACCTGTAGGTATCGGAGTTGTAGGGCAGCCGGAGAGTCGCTTATAACTTCTGAAGCTTCGCGGAGGGCTCGAGATGCTTTTTGTTCACCTTCGGCCGCGATGACCTTTGCTCGAGCTTCTCGGGCCGCCTCAGCTTCCGCCGCCATTGCCCTCTGCAACTGAACTGGCAACCTCACGTCCTTACTGAAATGTTTGTCACACGTGCACGCATGTCATCATCGTTCTTATATTTATTAATGAAAAATAGTGAACTCACATTTCCACCCGTTCCACTTTGATGCCCCACGACTCGGTGGCTTCGTCCAACGACACTTGCATAGTCTTGGATATGGCGTCTCGGTCGCTGAGAATTTCATGCAACGGCCTGGTGCCCAAGACATTTCTCAATGTGGTTTGAGCCAATAACCTAGTAGATTGGTGAGCGTTGGCCACATTGGCTACCGATATCGTAGCGTTGCACACCCGATAATAGACCACGGCGTCCACGGACACTGTCACGCTGTCTTTGGTCAACACCTAAATATTGTGAAATACGCGCCAGGTGATGTTTGCCGTATCATAAAATATATATATGGGGGGACGAGGTGGCCGAGCGGTCTAACGCGTCGGCCGCGGCGCTGGCAGTCGCGGGTTCGATTCTCGACCACCGGGCGGCATTTTTTTCCGGGCAAGTCACGGTGTCCGGAAAACAAGTGCCGCCATCCCCCCACTCCGGGGCATGGCAGAAACCTACGGGTGCCCCAATAAAAATTCTGCCACCACAAACACACGTGTTTACAAACCAACAGTTCCCTCCCCTACAAACCAAACAAACAAACAAACAAAAAAAAAAAAAAAAAATATATATATAAATATATTATTTTGAGATGGTATTCGTTTAGCATGTGACCCAACTAGGTCCACGGCCCCATCGTGATTTACTGCAGTACATACTTGTTTATTAAGAATTAAAATAAACTGAAATAAAAACATATTAACTCCAACTATCCTAACAATATTTGCACAATCATACCACAATCTGAACGATATTGGCTGTATTCATTTAACTATCAATCGTTCTGGTTTTGTGTAAAATATAAATGTTTCCCTACTTTATATTCTGAGTGGAATGATGTGTTTTTTTTTTATGTCTGTGTACACGTTAAGTAGTCGAAATGATGCTTCGATTTTCAACTTCAGATCTCGTTCGATGGAAAAGTGAATATTGTTGGTGCATTGGGGAGGTTGAAACTTAAAATTCAAAATAGTTTTCAAAAGCGCCCGGAAAAATAAAATAAAAATTAAGGAAAAACGGGAATTTTTCCACAAAATCAATTTTGGTTTTTGGTGTAACTTTAAAACAAATGACCGTAGACACATGCAATTTTCATTGGTTGTTTATACTTCCATTTTCTATACATCATCAAATTTACAAAATATTTTGATTTGTTTTGAACTGTTTAGGGACATTTTCATAAATCTAAGATTTTAAAATGTAATACAAGATTCCTTATAAGATTATCTACCTTTTTAAAAAAAAACTACTGTACAGCAAAGAGACTTTTTTTTTTTTTATTTAAGTAACAGAATTTTCCCAAACATGAAAACTCCCAAAATATTACCAACTTTTTCTAACAGAAACCACCCCCAAAGTTAAAGATCGAAGCAGCTATTCAACTTAAAACGTGTACACATACACAAATAAAAAATACAAACAAATTAATGTAAATCAATACATTTAGAGCTTCGTTAAAAATATAAAAGAATATTAGGTACCTACCTAATGCTCATTACGGTTATAACTCACTTAAAAGATTTTTCCTAAATTTTTAAGCACTAAAATATTTTAAAGTTTCCCAATATTTATGATTTTATTATTACAATTAATTTTTAATACGACCATTAACTTGTTAATTCTATTTTAAATTAGAATTAAGTCTGTTTTAAAGTGTTTGTAATTGAATTAAATAAAACTTAACTAATATATTTTGTAAAAACTTTTGTTACAAGGTTTATATTGTTTATTTGATAATAATGAAGAATGTAAAAGAGATTTTGAATCACTCATGTATAAAAAAAGCAGAAATTATTGGAACCTTAATACAGTAGTACATTAAGAATTTAGCTCCACTAAGAATCAAAAATCCTAATTACTAAACAAAAAATTACAATGTTTATAATGTGTTATATAAAAATGAAAAATTATAATGTGTTCATAAAATATTTTTTGAGGATATAAAAAAGTTTATTTATTATTAAGATCATTTTTAATAATCATTTTTTTTTGTTCAATATCATATACTAATACAATATAGGTACCTACAATTGAATTACGTTTTTTTATCCATATATTAATATATTATTGTATTTTTATTTTTGCCCTAGTAGGTCACACACTAAAAACCTAAAAATGCCCGGTAGGTTACATTGTAAACGAATGCCTTTAAAATATAGTAAAGACGTCGATATTTCCTTTCCATCCCCAATAAATGTACCTATAGCATAATTTAATTACTGATTATGAATATAAATATTAAACAAAAATGTATGAGTTGCTTATTATATATTTAAACCCGCCAAACCCACGTATGTATTGTGACTTACAAATGCGTACAGAATATCAAATTCGAGTTCTGGTAAACAATTTTGTGTTTTTAATTTTAATATTTGACGATTAGAGTGAATCAAACTTTGATCAAATGTAAAGGTATTAATTATATCTAGTGCATCTCCTAGGTTTATATCAATATTTAATTTTTAAAGCGGGATCTCATAAAATAAAAAATGCAATATCAATAAAAACTTACGAGGTGCACTAGATAAAATTAAAATACCTTTAAATTGTATTATATATTAATTGACTCTAATATTAAAACTAAAAACCACAAAATTGGTTCTGTTGAACATTTCTAACCTATACTTAATTGTTATTTGTTATAGAAGTGGTGAAGTTGTTGGTGTTAGAAAGGCTTAAAATGCCGACATGTTAAATATTCAATTAGTAGTAGCCAGTAGGTTACCTCGGAGACTCATTGATTATTATTATGTCCTTAAAACTGCTATTATAACCTTAACTGCAACATCTACCATATTCACTGACGTTACCCACTCAAGAGGAGACGGAGGCTAAAAAAAACCCCTCTCTTAATTTCAAGCTATATTTTTTTTTATTCCCATTTCTAAAATATTAACCTTTTATTATTGAAAAAACCCTCCAGAATATAGTCTTTATAGTATATATACTCTATTTAATAATACAGTATAGCTAGTAAATACATTATATATATATTATATAGCTAAACACTATAATATACACTTAATACATTATGTTTATGGGAAGTATCGATAATATTTACTCAACGATGCCATCGGTCGACGGACATAGACACAGTGTAATATTATGTTGTAATAAAGATGGTATTATAATAATATACTATAATATTATATTATACGGTATATATAGGTACCTCTTGTGGCGGCACGTCGTACGTGCGTGTTCTCAAGTCGACACGAGCATAGTTGTCGATGCAGGGCAAAATGAAGAATATACCTGGAAAGAGAAAATGGTTCGTTAGTCGGTTGTAAATAATTTAGCGTTTTTATATTTAGATATGTATAATATTACCTGGCCCTTTCGCCCCACCCGACACCAGACGTCCTAGGCGAAATATTACGGCTCGTTCGTACTCCTGAACTACCTGCAAGAGACAATACAAAACAAATATATTATACTGCAGTCATCATGCAACAGAGTGCCGGGGTTCGTGTTGACGTAAGTTCCGACTTCTAAGTGCACTAACTTTGAAACAGACGAACAGAGAAAACGGGAACGTGACGACAACAAGTGCCCAAGCACATCCAGTCATAAATTTACCGCATACGCCCGGATCGGTCGGCGCGCTGTCTTCGGCTGAAAGGCAAAAAAGATTAATTAATGATTATTAGCATAGCAATAAATAACCGATGAGTGATGACCGACGTGGTAAGCCCCCGCCGACCCAAATAGAAACAAATTAAAAAATTATATGGTTATCTATATTATAGATATACCTAATCAGCTATTACCTACCTACCGATTGTATAAATTATAATATTATAGCCTATAGGTATTATGTGATGTTGTTTATAATATGAAAATATACTTTGATGGAAAATAATTCAAATTATCGAGTATTAAAAAGTCAAACATTTTATCGAATTACCTATTGTGTAAAAGAGTTATCGATTAAGAGGTTATCACACCCGCATGTGTTGTCTCCGTCTACAAATGTACAACATAGCAAAAACTGTTTGGCGCAGGACAACTTTTATCTTTCAGTGTTTGTAGTGGTGACTCAAAATTTCTGAACATATAGCGTGGAAAATTATTTATACAACAGCGTGCCCATATTTTAGATAACATAAATACAATAAAAGTTATTTGCTTCTAAACATTTGGTTTTTTTCATTTGTTTATAAAGAAATGATTGGATAGTGCCATTAAAAAAAAGCACTCTAATGCACAGATAAAGTTCTTCTTTACGTATTGTGAAAATTTAGTAGTTCTAGAACAAATATGGTACGAGAAAAGTTGTCCCGCGCAAAACAGTTTTTGTTAGGTTGTGCAATTGTAAGACGAAGACAACACATGCGGGTGTGACATCCTCTTAAATTGTCTATATCTTCTATCTTTCTTCTATACCATAAGAGTCTGCTGCACAAAATAGTAGAGGTTGGACCTCTCTTTCCCACAACAATTTGATTGATAACGTTGTCTCTTTTCAACATAAAGTGCATGTGCACAAATCAGCAGTGCAGCCAACTGTGTTTTTAATTATTTACATTTTATCACTCAAAGGAAGATCGGGCTCCTTGACATCGTTCGAAGGTACATAATATGAGGCGCGTTTCTATGTTGAAGTTTAAAAAAAATAATCTTTTGCACGGGCTACGCCGGGTGGGACAGCTAGTTTTATATAAAACTACCTAAGAGTTATCGATAATATTTTAATATTTTATAAAAAATAACACCTATCATACAACCTAAAATATTAAAATAAAATCAATAACTCTTATAATGTTCTAATTTACTCTATATGTGTTGTAAAAAATTTTAATCTCGATGGCTGTAAAATGAAAAACCACAGCGACCTTAACGAGTACATTTAAAATAACATACCTATATTATGAAAAATATTTATATTAGTTAATACTTTATACGTACATTGTTTTATAATATTAGTTATAAATAAGGTACCTACTTCCTACCTTTTTGTATATATATTATATACATTTTTTTTTTTCAAAAATTGTGTATTCGAATTCAATAAAATCCATAATGTTTTAATTGTCACGGTTTCAACAACTACCATACCTGAATGTTTTTAGGCTATAAAGGGTGATTCTCCTGTCAGAATCGTTTTCATAATATTATTTACCTAGTGATTTATTATTGAAATCAAACTGAACACATAGATTACTGTAACTCAAATACTCAATGAAGACTCGACCAACTACTGCACTACTACACAGAAGGGTGGTTACCTACTTTCTCCTTTTTATTTTTTTTATTTTTTTTATTTTTATGATAAATTTTTATTTCACTATCTATTACAATATGTTAATAAAATAATCATTAAGAGGACGCTAATACATGGGCGTGTGTTGTCTCCGTCTACAAGTATACGTAGCAATTTTAAGCTCAGCAATTAAAGTTTAGCCTAGTTAGTTAAAAAATTTGAGTGAAAATCGGCCTATTTTGTAACTTGATGCCTTGATGGTATAAGAACATTATCTGTGTTGGTATGTTAGTGTTTTACGATATTTCAATTGTTTAGCAAGTGTTGAGTATATAATAATATAGCGTAAATTAAAAATACTCATATCTCACTTAGAAACTGAATTATCGTACACACAAACACAGATAATGCTCTTACCTTCAAGTTTCATAATAGATCGATTCACAATGATTTATCAACTAACGAATCTAAAAGTGATCTGTTGAGCGTTATAAATTGGATGTTACTTAAAAGACGGTGTCACGGTTACAAAAAATATTTGCGAGTGTCATCTTAACAAAGTGTGATAACTGATAACTATAGAGAAAAAAACGTCATGATGAAGAATCAACCCATGTCCACCTTGACATGAATTTGGCAATTTATTTATTTATATTATTATTTAATACTAAAAATGTAAATAGTTAAGGTGTAAAAATAACAAAAAAACATGCAAAAAATTTTTGGCCCATGGGGGGATCGAACCCACGACCTTCGCGTTATTAGCACGACGCTCTAACCAACTGAGCTAATGGGCCAGATGAAAAATTTGTAAATATTATTCGATTCTGAGCAAAGCGATGAATATAAATCTTAAGTTTGACAATAATGTGTTTTTTTAGTTTATCTTTTGTGTCAGTCATAAATTACAACACATTTTGAATCAGTAAAATTTCTATTTTCGACTTTAAATTTGACACATCCATTGCTGCGCAGTCGCGGTGGCGTACTAAAGAATTTTTTAAGGAGGGTGCTGTAAAGCTAATTTTCCGAACACATTTAAGTGGGAGGCTTCGCTACAGAATATATTAGATGTTTTTATAAGTATTTATGGGCCCAATGGGGGGAAGTCCAGACCCCCGTGCCCCCCCTCACCACCATAAATACTCCACTGCTGCAGTGACGTATCTACTATAAATGACGAGTTACCTACACTTGACATAATATTATAATAAATCTACAGCAGAGCGAGTTCCCCAATTTTAGATTCTGAGTGAAACAATGAATGTATTGATTTTACAATGATGTGTGTGTTTTTTAATTTTAATTTTTTTTTTTTGTCTGTCATCACCTTTTAGGACAGTAAGAGTGCTTGGATTTTCTTCAACAGTATCTTTTATAATAGGAAAGTGAATCTAGTTGGTAATTGGCTTGGGGGGTCAAAAGTAAAATTTTTACAGTAGTTTTCAAAAGCGCCTTGAAAAACAAAAGACAAATTAAGGTAAAACGGGAATTTTCACACAAAATCTGTTTTCGAGAAAATTGATTTTGGTTTTTGGTACAACTCTTAAACAAATGACCGTAAGTACTTACTTGAAATTTTTACTGAATATTTATAATAGCATTTTCTATACACCATGCCCTTTTTAAAATATTTTGACTTATTTTGAGCTGTTTAGAAACATTTTCAGTTTCCAATTTTTTTAGTTTTTTATTCTATAAATATCAATAAAATGTTATTTGTTGGGTACAAAAGCTTGAAAATTGTATGCAAGGCTCCTGATACATTGTTACAATAGCAGTAGAAAAATATTAAAAATACATATTACGCACAATTTTTTTTTTATAAGCATTTAAAAATCAAATTTTGACAAAATGTATCAAATTTAAAATGTAATAATTATTTTGTAGTTAAATATGTATAAAATGTTCAACTTTTATAGCTAAGGATTGAAAATTTAAAACAAGGTTCCACGTAAATAGGTTATATATAAATTACTTTAATCACAATAATATCATCAAATATACTTGGCAATATTATAGGCTGACTGACCGTTTTCGCTCAGAATCGTTTTTCTTATACAATGATATTATAACATTGAATTCAAATTTAACACCATCCATTATACAGTGACCCACTTGTAACATACTGTACAGCAGAGCGACATCCACTTACCCACCTTTTTTTTTAAATTTTCTTTATTTTTTTATCGGTATAAGTAGGTATATCTACAAGGAATTTCCAGCTGGAAATGGGAAACGATTTGACGATTGGCTATAATAAAAACGATCAAAAATTAAAACTATAACCATTATTTTTTGTTTATATATAGGTACTATGTATTTATGTACTTACATATATTATCATAGTAAAACTTAGTTATAATATAAAGTCGGTTTTCACATAACTACTAAAATAGTAAAATGTGATATCCCGTCAGGAAAATTATATTGATCGTGTTATAGTTTCTATCTTATAAAAAAAATATTTCTTTGTATAAATTAGGTTAAAACTATAATAGTCCCATCATCGATTTGTTATCATAGTTACAACGATGACAACTTATGTACCTACCCCTATAATTTAATACTTCCTACTAATGTAGGATATTAAATTATTTTATCTTATTATTTCGTATTATTTCGAGTTACCTATACAGCTACAGAATTAATGTTATTCGTTCGACTGTGGCATATAAATGTATTTATTTTTTAAGCTTTTACAATTATCTTTTGCCGTTTATATTTTGAAATTTCTTTTTAATGGGTAAAAAGTAATAGGTATGTTTACGTATTTGAACAATAAAATTACTAATTTGTATAGAATTACATAAAATATGTATAGAGACATCGTTTACAAGAATTAATTCGTTACAACAAACAAATTAATATTCCCCTATACGAATTCACAGTCATAACCGATTTTCACTGTACTTATACCTATAGGTAAATATTATAAGTTATATAGTACATGCGTGAGCGTATATTTCGTGAGGTTTTAAAGGTCTTCACGGCCGCCGGTAATTGTATTGGATTTCGTTCTGTCAATTTTCAAACCTTTGATCTATTCATTATGAGTTATGACATAATTTAACACAATATTATTGTATACATACAAATACAATTATAATAATGTTATACAACGTTTGTGCTGTGTAAACATTTGACGAATTGACGCGTACGAGAGGATACACGTGTATAAGCAAGTATAAGTACACGCAAATAACATAGTTATATAATATATAGGTATTGAACAGTGAAATATGACGTAGATTATGCAGGTACTCGTGTCGTAAATGTATTGAAAACAGAAATGTATTACGAAACTGACACGTGTCGTCATGGCCGGCCAGGGGTAGTCTCGTAAATATAATTTAATATTATGCAAC